AATATCTTAAGTTAAATCCATGGATCAAGTAAAAAAACTAAACACGGAATTTTTATTATTATATTATGCAAATATTATTCTATACAAAGATAGAGGAAAAAGTCATCAATAAAACTAAACAGTTACACATTGAGGAAGCTTCATTTCCGTGACTTTCGTGAATGTATTTTGGAGCAATCCCTTTTTAAACTCCAGCAGTAATCTGCCATCATATGAGTATCCCATCTTCCTTGGTAGCGGTCCTCCATAGTTTTAATATCCTGGTGAAATCTTTCACTTTGTTCTTCACTGGTGTCTCCTAAATTTTCAGGAAAATGGTCTAAGTGACTGTGTAAATAGTGCACCTTAATACTCATATTACACCCAAGGAATTTGAAACTGTTAAACATCTCGTTTACCAGTTCGACATAATTTTCAGCTTTGCGTTTGCCTGGAAAATTTCTGACAACTGCAACAAATGAAGTCCAGGCTTTTTGCTCAGCTTCATTCATCGAATTGACGAAAGCAAGATCGTTAGTGAATTGTCTTATTTGTGGGACGTCAAATATTCCTGCTTTAATTTTTTCTATACTTAACTGAGGCATAAGAATTTTTTTCGATGAATTAGATACTTCTTTTTATTTTCGGAAAAATTTGCTGTATAATTTTATCAATTATGAATTAAAATTTTTTTTATTAGTGTTGACTCGACACGAAAAGAAATGGCATCTACTCGTGGTGGAAAAATTCGTTGCCTTCTTAAACAACTCTTTCGGCTCTTTCTAACACTTCGTTGCGATCAGAATAGAATATCCCTCAGCCATTTTCACTTTCGTGTAGCAATTTCACATGCTCAACTGAACGTGAGTAGAGGAACTCGCATGGTGAGATGGAAAACCTCGCGTTTCTTTATGCAGCGCTCGAGAAGCGCTTTACAGCGAACACACTGAAACTGGTTTCTAATTGGCCAACACTGCTCGTGACGTCATTTCGCTACACTCTCGCTGCATAAAGAAACGCGGGGAAAGCACGTGAGTTATAACACGTGCGACTAAATATGCAGATGACACAACGCGCTGATTGGTCAGCTGAATGACGTCAATCTACTAAAATCGGAAATGTTGATCGATTAGCCTAATCTTTGTGTTGTTGTTGTTTGTTGTTGTTGTGAGAGCGGGCAGACATTATAATTATAGACATTTCATCTAAAACTTGATAAAAGGCACTTATTTATAATTTTACTCTTGAATTTCACTCTATAAATAGCTCTTGTGTGTATTGATATTAATTGAAAATTTTGCAATAATTTTAACATTAAACTAAATTACGTGATGTCAAAGATTTTAATGTTGAGACATTTTTAAACATCAAGAAATAACTTTTATTATTTGTTTTGTATTTTTTAAAACCATTTTAAGCTTTTTTGTACATTTACTATAATAATAAAATAATCGAAAACAACAAATGTAAATTGCAAATTAAGCTTTTTTTTACATTCCTTATTAGACAAAAAAGTATTTTTAACCATACAGAAACTTGTATTTAATGTTTTATAAATATATTAAACATACATAAAGTTATAACAGAATATGCTAAGTGGAAATGCAGATTAGTTAATAATTTAATATATATTTTCACCTAAACATAATTTATAGTTTTTAATGCATAACTGTTAAAACATTTTAAATAATAAGTTATTTTTTCTACAAAATCTCTAATCCATTGGTTTGCTTTTCAAATCAAATCCTGTGAAATCTTAATTATAGACACTGGATATATATTTTCCTACTCAACCAGTTATATAGCACATACAAGGCATCTAGAAATAGTTATTCATTAGTATGGTAATATTATTTTAACAAAAAATAAAAAGGGTTAAAAAAATAGTTTACTATGAAAACATTACAGTACAAATGTAACATTACTTTATCCTGACACTTATATTGATAAACAATTTCCATGATGAAATGTATGGAAATTCTTATTTAAAACATATTTAACTATTATATTCAAAGGAATTTAAATACTTACAGTATTATTGAGTGTTAAATAATTTATACAAGAATTCTATACTTTTAATTTGAAAAATGGTCATACGAATTTGATTATACATATTTACAGATACTGTATATCCATAATGGAACTGGATATATGAAATTTGTGTAAATTTGAAAAGTATTGTTTCTTAACACACAGATTTTGAACTGACATTCAAAAGCACAAAATGTCCATTGACAGAAAGAACTGTCAATTCTAACTAAAGCATTAAAAATTTTTTTCTGATGAAAGTAATCTATGGAGAATAGGCCTATTCTTAATTCAAAATTGTTCAATAACTTTTACATTAAAACTTTATAATTTGATAAGCAAGATTTGTGAAAATTTCTCTTTCAGAGGTATACGAAACTTAGTTAATTTTATTGTTTCATCTAACTATATTAATTAAATGCATATGACAAATTCAAAAAATATTCTGACTTGTCTTAATTATAAATTTCATCTTTTCTTGAACTTTTTATGAATAATATCTGTAACAAAATATAAATTTTCTGTTATTTATTATCTGTGAACGTAAATTTGAAAACACTAATCGTACTATTAAAATTATCTATTGTGTATGATTTGGTTCAGAGTTGCATAAAGATCAAGTATGAAATTAAAATTTGTTCAAAAAAAAATAATCTTACTAATTTATTAAGTAAAAGTAAACCATTTTAAAATTATTAGAGAAGTTGAGGCGCACGTATTTAGCCCAAAACGTGTACGGGTAACGAGTGAGCGCCGCCATCTGGCAGTTCTGGACCGTCGATAATGGCGTTTGCTACGTGTAGCTTGGTGAGTACACGATCGGCTTAAACGTCTTCATTTTTTTGTGTCTGGGGTTAAAATTATGATTTATTTTGCTTCCGCCATTTTTTCAACTTATTTTCCGTGAGTCAATGCGCGATGTTCACTGAGTCACGTGATGTTATGAAATGTGCCTCAACGATTTTTACTTGGACTTTAAACGTGTAACGTGTACTTCTGCTACCCGTACACGTTTAACGTTTGAACTTGTGCCTCAACCTCTCTACTTATTTATTTTATTCTGCTACCCGTACACGTTTAACGTTTGAACTTGTGCCTCAACCTCTCTATTCTTATAAATTTAAGAAAACATGCAAGCTAAACTTTATACTGTATTTTCACTTTATACTCACTCCATATTACGACAACTAAAAAAAATAATCTATTTTGTCACGATTTGTTCTGACAACCAGTTGACGTCATTCAACTCACCAATCAGCGATTTGTGCCATCTGATTATTTAGTCGCACGTGTTATAACTTGAGACTACGAGTTTGACGTCAAAGTGTGAGATGATACCACGTGACATCTTAAACAAGTCGAGAGTTGTAACACGAAAATCTCGAGACTAAGAACACGGAACTTTGTCTGCTATAGCCAATAAAAAACGTTCTTTCAGAATATTGTATAAAAGAGGTCGATGCCCATTGCAAAGATGACCATACCTTATATGATTAATTATAGTTTGGCACAAATAATCGATCTAAGTAGTGGAGTCAAAAATGATGATAGAAAATAACCAATAAGTTGAGTTGTCAGTCTGCCAGTCAGGGGGCCTCTGGAACGAATTTGAGAGGTCGAAAACTACATGGATTTTTTAGCGGTGGTCTGTCTCTAATACGTTTTTTACTATCCAATCACCCCATTTTGGGCCTGAACAAATCCACGATAGGAGTGACAAATAGTTTGCACGCAAGGCGGAAAGAGTAAAAAAAAGTAATTTTTTTCTGATAATGATATAATTGGTATTCACTGACGTGCGAGTAATTAATATTTACAATTATTAAAGTAGGACAAATAACGTTTTTTTTTTAAAATTCGAATATTAACTACATCTCGAATATTCGAATACATCAAATATTTACTGCACCTCATTATCGCCCACCAGTAACCAATAATTAAATCCACCGAATACTCGTAGTTGATCGCGGGTTCCCATTCCTACCAATAACTGGCTTGCCAAGCGAAGTTGCATGTATCCAGTCCGTGTTATTTCCGTCATTTCTTTACGCATCTAACACCTACATAGGGCTCAATTTCTTACAGAAAGTTTTCCCGGGAAGAATCCACCACTTGACAATAGGGGAGTGTCAGCAAGCGACCTCCCCTTGACGGATCTCTTACGTGTATTGCTTTGCCATATACTGTCGACCCGATTCGATCTTCTAACTTTGTAATTTGTGCATTGTGCCATCTTGTGTAAACTTTTTCATTTAAATGGTTGATCATTATTAAAAGACAGACTTAAAATCTTCAAAATTATTTCTGAAGAATAAGTATGGGATTGCCTATTAATTTAGAGATCTTTAACAAAAGCTGATGGATTGTAGAAAAAGAATTTGCTGCTTAACTACCTCATACCTGAAGTTTGTTAACCTGAAAAGGCAGAAAACTTTGCGTATAACAACAACTATAACCATTCATTTCAACAGAGAGGCAAAGTATCTTTCTTTTGCCAAAAAATCATAAAGAATCAATTTTTTTTTGAAAATTACAATCATAAAATACAGTATAAAAATTCTCCATAATTTTAATACATGCATGAGTAAATTTAATAAAATTAATGCGTACTTTTATAATAAAGTAAGTGTAATTAAGAATAATTTAGTTCAGGAGAATGAAGATGAAGTGGAGAATTACAAACAAGGCATCAGAAGAAGATCTCGAAAACAGGCACAAAGCCTTCATACGTACGGAAATTTTTAAATATAATTATTGTTTGATATATAAAATTTTTAATTTTGTTTAAATTAATTTAAAGTGGAAGCGAAGAATGGAAGAGAACAGTGGCGATTGCCGACAGGAGTTCTCTCTGGAACGATGCCATTGTACCGTACGAAATCTCTCCAAAGATCAGTGGTAGGTTTGATGATAATCGTAATTAATTTTTACAATATTACTATTTTATTAGGTCGTAACTCTGTTTACTTCTTTTGTTCGTGGTAGAAAGTCTAAGAAGAACAATACGCACGGCTATAAGAAAATGGGAATCGGACACGTGTTTGAGATTTGTTCCTGCCGATGAAACGATCCACGAATACAGCGTGTATTTTGAAAATGAAGGAGTTTGTGGGTAAGATACGAATATATAAAGCGAAATTAAACAGATTGCGTTTAAAACTAACGGTTTTTAATACAATTATATAGCCTGCACAGTCAGTGATAGACCTATGTTTGTTATCTTGAATTTTAAATTTTTATGGTGGTCCCTTTGCGACCAGTAATAATGAAGTAACATGTAAAAATAATCAAAAGTCCTTGCTGCTCCTTTAAGGACCTCTTGGTACAAACGGTAGAGAACGGGGGGGGTAGTTAGATGAAGTCAGTGAAAGAAGGGATATGATCATGCTAACTGAAGCAAAATTTTAAGTACAGTATCTCTGTTATGTTTTTCGATTGGGTTATTCTATGGCAAGATCACCACAACTTTTTTCTGTTAAATTTAACAATTAAACTACTGACATAACATATTAATTAGCCTAGTAATTTTAATCAAAATCTGCTAGGCTAATTCGTACGTTATGTCAGTGGTTCCCTTCAGTAGCCAAATGGATAAATCACCCGTTGCCAGCCCGTTGCGAGTTTCCACAATCTCCATCAATCTTCACAATCTCCACAAGCCAGCCCGTTGCGGGCTGGCTTGTGGAGATTTTCGGGTTTCTTTCATATTTTTAACACCTAAATACGAATCAGTTGCACATAGAAAGTCTTTCTGGGAGGCATCTCCTTTAGCAGATTGTCCTAGATATGCATTTTCATAAACAAAGTCACTGGTGTTAAAATTAAAATAGCATTATTTTAATAACAAAGACTTAAAACATTCTTTTAAAAAAATTCACGCAGTGAATATTGTTGCTTAATTAAAGGACCATCCAGGGATTACGATTTTGTTTAACTCTTTCCATCCTGTGGGCAATAAGAGGGTCTTTTCCACCAAGTCAATTTAATAAAATTGCAGATCAATATCAAATTAATAGGAAATAGTTCATTTAAACGGATGGTGCAAACAGAAGGCTTGGCTGCACATGCATACAAATTATGCTGTGTCAGCCACTCTTATACAATACTGCTAGTATTTCTTATTCATCGAACAATTCGACAAATGATTCATGTCCGCCACGGTAGGGAACCGGCCTTCACGTGCCGAGGAGCCTAGCGGGTATAGAGGATCCAAAGGTTTCGCTTTGGTATTGGCCACTGGAGTCTTTAGATTCAGGCCTAAGGTTCCAAAGATGTCAGAGTATCATGGGTTTTGGGTTTGTGTATCAGACCTTAATGAAGCTTGTTGTTCCTGTGCCGCGTCCCTATCTGCAGCCTCTGTCAGGGTTTGTGACATCTCCCTAAACTGGACCCTATCCCTGTTTGGATGGATGGCAACCATAGCTGCAATTTGGTATAGAGGCATGCAGACTCACATCAAAACAGAAGGAAGACTGGTACAGTCAAGGCACGTCGGCTGTTGTTAATAGTCTCGTCAATAAGATCAAGATGGTCCCTCAGTAAGTCTGATTCTGGAGGATGATTGCTAAAGCCGTTGCTAACAGGATTCCCCAAGAGGACTTGTCTTCGGACAAACTAAAAGGAATGTAGTTGATTAGACTCGTCTGATAAGGAGAGAAAGCGCAGTGGGTGCCCTTCATAGAGCTTCATTTGACAGGGGCACTGTTGAAATATGATAGGGATACCTATTGTGCTATTTACGCGGCCTGGCCCCAGTCCCCTTGCCTTTGATCGAGCACTGCTCTTGTTCGCAGCAAGATGACCCTCTGCTTGCCCTACTTATGAGTGAAGTTCCAAGTGTCCTCTTCAGGACCTGGAGATGCTGGAATGCTGGAACTTCTGGATTCAAATACCGTGCCGATTAGAGATATGGAGGTCATGGATCTAACAGTTTTTACCCTCTGGAACTCGAGACACTGTCATGAACTCCCCCATTCTCCTAGGTGACATGAAGCCAATGGTTGAACTCAAAAGAGGTGGCTGAATGCAGTCGATCCTGCCTCAGCCCATGGCAATGCGAGCCATGTAAAACTCCTTCCATATGGTAAAGGAGAAGCAGTTTCCTAGGAGGAAGATTGGGCTTTGCACACCCAGTGCTCGTACTCCTGTTGCCGAAGCCTCGTAGGTTGCCAGTGGGATAGTGCCTGTAGTGGCTTACAGGATCCTGCTGACTACCGTCTACTGTAATGTGTGGTGTGTGATGTGTGATGAAGGCAGATCCTCTCTGAAGCATAGGACAAACTTCCTTATGTCTTGAGGAGGGAGATGATTAAAGGTCAGTCATGCGCTGGATGGGCCATAATCGTTTTGGAGAACCAGAAACGGGAATGAAGCATCCTAGTAGGGATAAAGAGGTGTCTAAAACTAAGCAACCAGCCAGGCTAGGGCAACCTTGGGTAGGTGGCTATTTAAATGGGTAGCTGTCCAGGCAGTGGGCCAAACCACTTGTGGGGAGGCTCTTAAACTGTTACTGTGATGCCTGAATGGATGTGGACCGTCTGTGGAAAGATGGGAGTGGCCTCAAACCTTTTTTTCATCTTTTATATCTTTTCATCTTTTTCTTCATCTTTTGTATTATGGTGGAACAAATGGAAAGTGTGCATGCGACTCTTGTGCAATGTAAAGTTGAGAATCCTAAGCTAACAGGAGATACTACGGAGCCAAAAAGTGGAAAAGAGGAAGGAAGTGGTGTTTCTGGCACCACCACTAAAAAGTGGCACTCCCACAAGAAGCGGAATGCTAGCAACATAAAAAAGGCTGCAAAGGCAAGAAGCAGCCAGTTATTGTACTTGAAAGGACCAAACAGATCTATGATCTAGCCTCTGACTCGTGCCCTGAAGAGGCTGACTTGAACGCCTCAGAGAAGAAAGTAGTGGTTGATAACATGGCGGCCACACGAAGTGAGCGGACAATGTGCAGACAGGTGCACATAGAAGAGGAGGTGTCTTCTGATGCTGTTCCTCCTGGGGAATGGTGATCCCGTGTTCTCCTCCCATCCAAGCAGTCTATGGCCGTCCTACCATGGCTGGGGATGAGACTGCAAGGACTGTAAGGGCAACCAGAAGAGTTGCCTCCTAAGGTGTTGAAGTCGAGACATCTTTTACAGACTCGGTACAAATGATTGCTTTGGCAAGTGTAGACGAAAACCCTTTCTCTCCCAAAAGGCAAGAAGGAACTGCCGAGGTGCAGTTAAAATGCTCAGATGTGAGGAAGGCGATCAAGGGAATCTCTAAGGCACTGGCGGGCATATTAAGCAGGGCTGATAACTGATGTGAAAAGATGGTAGGTTCTGCCATTCAGGACCTCTTCAGTATGATGACCTTACTTGTGCTGAAGAAAGAATACAAATTAAGCATTCCACATACAGAGATCAGAGAGAGCCCTAAGAGAGAGGTTGCCACGCCCCACCAACCGATCCAACAAAGATCCAGTAGAGTGGATCAGAAAAGTCTTGTGATGGCAACAAAGGAGACCTATGAAAAGATTGCAAATGGGTTCCCCCAAGCCGAAGTAGGAGCCTTCCATTCCTTTATCGAAACACGTTTCCCTTGTGTATCCGAAGGATAGAAAGAAGACTACTGATGCAGTCCGCGACCATGTAAAAAAAACATCAACACTGTCAAATTAAAGGTAGGGGTGCAGAATGGCTGCCGGGTTAGGAGGAATGGTGACCTGATCAAGGTCGCATCCCGTAAGAATGTCAAAGTACTCCAAAAGGAGTTGATTGAATGGAAAGCACCGGAAGAGATGGTCATTTATTGACTGCCAAAAAAGTGCCTTCTGAGAGTTATAATTTACGATGTCCAAGAGGACATCAGTAAAGACAAACTGGCAGAGATTATCTCTGCACAAAATGATTTGGGCATGCAGGCTAGCGACCTGAAGCCCAAGTTTTCCCTTAAAGAGAAAGGGGGTCTTCTCCATCGCGACAGTGAGTCACGACCCCCTGTTTAAAAGTCCTTGAAAGGGCAAGGTCCATGTTGGGTGGACCAGGAATCGGGACAGGAAACATCTTGCCTTGAGCTGGTACTATAGGTAATATGAGTTTGGGCATACCATTGCACATTGTAATGCAGCAGCGGACTTGTAGCCGTTGCATGATGGAACACTCTCATATACACTGCAAAACGAAGCTGCTGAAATGCAGCAGTTGCTGCATTTTACAGTGGACAGTAAGTTTGGTTTGCAGCTATAGACGGGCCACTCCTTCCTATGTCCCAGCTGTTCCTCTTACCTGAGGGAATTAATTGGCCAAGGTACGGTCTGGAACTGACTACGGCTAGTTACCAACTGAAGTTACCCTGAAAAGGAAAAAGAATTGACAGAATTTTGTAAAAAACGGAAAAGAAATTGATGAAGCTCAGTGTTTAACCAGGTAGGGCTATTTTAAGCACCTTTGCCCATTCTAAAATAAACGTGGGATTTTCAAGGCCTCACCAATTACATGGCCAATGTAGGGAAGGCCATTTAAGGGTTAGGCAAGGGTGATGGCTAGAACCCACCTGGGCTGCAACAGAAGCTCAATGCTCACAAAACTTAAAGCACTTGACAGAAACATAATAAAAAGGTCCAAAGATCCAAAGCTCAGTAATAGTCTGGGCGCGCCCCCTTCTGAGAGAGAGCCCCACAGCCTGAAATGTTAAGCTTCACTCAGTTCTTGGTTGAGTGCATGGATAACAGCCATATGCTGTGTAAAACTGTATGCATATGTTAGAGGGTTGAAGTTGGGGGCAAGAAAGGCAAGGTTGGTTGGTCCCCATTGGGTTGTATCACCAGAGCCAGAGCTAGAGCCCGAACACCTATCTTGGGTTCGATCTTAATAGTCCAAGACACCTCAGTGACTACTGGGTGCCTTGGACTATTAAGATTTGCTTTTTCCTATGATTATAATATAGTCTCTTTGTACCCTGTAGTGCCATTTGGAGGCACAGGGGCAATATACTTAGAATTGTGATATGAGGAAATGGTCCACGCAGGATGTTGGACCAATAAGCATTCGCAAGGCGTACTTTACTTTATTTAAAGAATAGAAGAGCTGTCTGTCATTTAGCGGAAGACTTTGCTCTATAGAGA